CCAGGCAGTAAACAACAGGGCAGGGAATTCAGCAGCCCCGGATGGAGAAGGAATAAAGGAAGTTTGCGAGTGTCCCGGCAGATCGTTGCTTTTAGGGCTCTAGTTTGAACCTGGAGCACTCTGAGACCCATCCGTTTTCCCAACCTGGTGGCTTCATTATGGCCCAGAAACGAAAATTATTTTGCTTAAAGAAGCAACAAAACAGCGTGGGTGAAAGAACATATTCATTAATGATTCAGTTAATTTAATTTAATTTAATTTTTTAAAGATTTTATTTATTAGAGGGAGAGAGAGCAGGGGGAAGGGGAGGCAGAGGGAGAAGCAGACTCCCCGCTGAGCAGGGAGCCTGATGTGGGGGCTCGATCCCGGGACCCTGGGATCTTGACCTGAGCTAAAGGCAGACACTTGATCCACTGAGCCATCTAGGTGCCCCATTTAATTTTATTTTTAAAATTAAAATGCTCCTTGAAAATGTTTTTCCTGAGCTGAGCTATTTCACTTCGAGGCTGAGTACCAGCCATCTGGATCTTGTCAAGCTTCCTTGTGCCTCTGAGCCTAGGCCTAGATTTGCCCTCTACCTGGAATGTCCCAGAGAACCCAGACTTCTGGAAACTCCAGCCTGTTGTCTCAAATCAGCTGAGCCTTATTTCCTCCACGAAGCCTCCCTGCCTCTTCACAGGGTGGGAATTTCCTCTTCGATGCACCCCCTAGTCCAGTGGTTCTCAGTCAGGGGCCATTTTGCCCCCACGGGGACACTTGACAACGTTTGGGAACATTCATAGTTGTCACAATGTGATGATGGGTTGTCCTACTGCTTGCTAGTGAGTACAGGTCAGAGAAGGTGCTGAACATCCTCCAGTGCACAGGACGGTCCCTGTACGGCAAAGAACTTTCCAGCCCCAAACGTCAATAGCACCAAGATTGAGAAAGCCTGCTCTGGTCTAACGTTTACCCTGTGACCATAACTCTTCGATCACAGTCTTGCCTCCGCTCACTCAGGGGCAGAAACTCCGTTCAGTTGGTGCCGATGTTCTCAGCCTGGTGCACGGCGTGAAATGAAACTGGAATGTACTTAACAGTCTTTATTGCCTTGATCCCTGCAGTTAAGATCACATCTCAGGTGGAACTCAGAGGAGTGATGCATAGATATTATTTAATAAACTAAAATTGTTTTAAACGCACAATTGTTTTAAACACAATTAAATTAGATTTAAAAAGCTAAGCCCATACAGCAATGACAACTGCTTCCCCACTTTGCTTCGGTGTCTACTGTGGGCACACCGATTCCTACTGAGGACGCAGAGCGGTGTTTCTCTTGTCTCTGTAGCTCCCTGACAGTGTTTCAGTTTATCCTGGGTGCTAGACTCTGCCATCATCACTTCTAGAAATCCTATCCTCATTAAAGTTTGTGCTCAAGGGGCGCCTGGGTGGCTCAGTCGGTTAAGCGTCTGCCTTCTGCTCAGGTCATGATCCCAGGGTCCTGGGATTGAGCCCTGCGTCGGGCTCCCTACTCAGCAAGGAGCCTGCTTCGCCCTCTCCCTCTGCATGCGAGTCTGCCCACTTGTGATCTCTCTCTCTGTCTCTGTCAAATAAATAAATAAAATCATAAAGTTTGTGCTCAAAATAGTAACAGCCATCCATTGAGCAATTAATACATGCCAAGTACTGTGCTAAGCACTTTTCATGCATGGATTAATTGAATTCTCATATCCCACGAGATAGATCTGATTACTATCCCCATTTTACAGATGAGGGAAATGAGGCACAGAGAGATTAAACTATTTATTCAGGTTTCCACAGCTAATAGGTGGCAGGGTGGTCCGACTCTGAGTTTATGACGCCAAACTATGATAATAAGCTTAGATCCTTTCTCATATCACTCATCAGAACACATTCCAGATCAGGATTCAAGACCTGACCATAAAAAACAAAACATTATCACTTTAGAGAAAATACAGGAAAACATATTTACAATTTCAGGATAGGGGAGGATTTCTTAAACAACATTCAAAAGGCACAAACGATGAAGGAAAAGCCAATGATTTTGGCGACACGAAAGTCAAACCGTTTGCAGAGTATCATAAACAAAGCTAAAAGGCAAGCGCTTAGGCTGGGCGCGGACAGTGGCAGCAACCCCGAAAGGTCAAGGCTTAGCCTGAGTAGGATGTGAAGGTGAACGGCAATGAGTAAGAGGGAGGCTCCAGGAGAGCAGAGTGGGCCGTGGAGGGAAGAACAGGAAAACTGCATGGCCAGTAAACACGAAGCGGTCCCCGAGTTCGCTGGCAATGCGGGAAATGCAAGTTAAAATAACCACAAGAAACGACATAGCATTTCTCACACATCGGATTGGCAGAAAGCAGAAGGTCTCACCCGCGGGGCTGCTGGCGAGGAGACCCGACGGGAGGTGAAGCGTCCGCGGGAAGCCGCCGTGTGCCATCCAGCGGCGCCTTTGCACGCCCAGGCCACGCCCCTTTGCACGTCCAGCCCCCCCCCCCCTCCCCCCCCCCCCCCCCCCCCCCCCCCCCGCTGCAAATTTCCTCCGCGCTGGCTTAGCTCCCTGAGAAAACAGGATAGAAGCGAGACTGTTCTCAGGGCTCCCTGAGGCTGTAGAGAGAGGGGAGGCAGCCAGGCCGCGGGGGCCTGGCGCGGGTGCGCAGGGCCCGCTGACACGCGGCGGCGCCCAGCTCGTGTCTGCACGCTCGTGCGCTCCTCCCGGGGAAGGGTCTGTCCCCACACTCAGAATCCCCTGTCTCAACACCTCAGGGCCACTTCCTAAAAGCGCCGACCTCCGGCTCCCCGCCAGGGTTCGAGCGGGCAAAAGCAGCCTCGGGGCAGCTGCAAGGCCCGGTCAAGCCGGGGGAGGAGGGAAGCTGCGGGCCGGGCAGGCTGCCCTTCTCAGTGCGTTCCCGGCTTCCCGGAGACGTCCCCGCCAGCCCACTCGCCGCGGCCGCCTCCTCCGACATCTCTCGTGGGCAGAGGCCGGCTTGGGGTCAGTGATATCCTAACGAAGATGGTTACCTCTGGCAGACCTTATTTCTCATTCAGTCGGGAATAAGTGGCTTCATCCTTTTGGCTCCTCCGAGTTATGGCAACTAAGTCATTTTAGCTGTAGGGGAATCGGCCAAGGTTTCTCTGGATCGGATACTCTAAGCACCCCCCCCCCCCGCCCCATACGGTGGTCCTTTTCTTGGACAGAGGAGTCACAATTTTTCTCGTCTAAATAATGTCTCCAAGATTTCAGACATAGAATTCTGGGGCCTCTGCCAAGTTCTTACCTGATTAGTTGAGCAGGTTCAAAAGTCTTTCTTGCACAGCTCTTTGGTGCTAGCCACTGTGGTCCCTCTCCCCTGCACGGTGCTACTCCCTTGGGGTGGAACACAAATCCAGATCCTTGTTTCATTGCCCAGGCTGACTGGTGCTAAATGCACAGCAGGGTGGCGCTCAGCATGATCTGCAGAGAATTCCCTCCCTGGTTGGTGGCTCCCCAGGGCCCCTGGGCTTCTTCAGAACTTGAAAATATTGTCTGACGTGTTACTCGGCATAAGGAGTTAGATTTCTCCTAAAAGTTCATAGCAGGAAAATGTTTCTTTCGTTGGGAAAGCCTGCATGCTTTATTCGGGATCTGGGAGCTGAGAGGCCACGTGTGGGCCTGGGTACTTGGGAGAGAGTACTTGGGGAGCTCTGTGGGCCTGGGTTTCAGTCCTGACCCAACTTCAACCACTTACTGAGTGAACTGGGGCAGTTGAGTTACCCTTTCTCACCTCAATGATTCTGTCTCAAAAGCGGGAATAATGACTCCGAGGCCCTCAAGCTGTTGTGGGGATAGGACACTCTGATGGAAGGCACCCAATATGTTGGAAGCGCTAAACCAACCATAGCTGTTCTTAGAAAACCCGTCATGCCAGGAAACTCAAGGCTGGAACCAGTGCCCAGAGGAAGTGACTTTTTAAATCTAGGTTCTGATACCACGTTCGTTTTTGTTCTAATCATTTCTTTTAAGTCATCTCTATACTCAACGTGGGGCTCGATCCTACAACCCTGAGATCAAGAGTCATGCGCTCTGCTGGCTGAGCCAGCCAGGCACCCCCTGTTCTAATCATTTCTAATTGTACTTTTGTTGTAATGATGCCATTCCGTCTGTGTTTCAGTATTCTAGACTGCCTCACACCATCTGTGAGAGACAGGTGGGGGATAAACAAAGAGTAGTAGGGGCGCCTGGGTGACTCAAAGGGTTAAGCGTCTGCCTTCGGCTCAGGTCATGATCCCAAGGTCTTGGGATCGAGTCCTGAGCCGGGCTCCCTGCTCTCCCTCTGTCCCTCCCACTGCTCACTCTCTGTCTGTCTGTCTGTCTGTCTCTCAGATAAATAAATAAAATCTTTAAAAAAAAAAAAAAGAAAAAGAAAAAAAGGAGCGGCAAATTCCAGTCAACTTGTGCCATTCCTGAACTCTCAGATTCTAAACCCAGCCTGACCAGCTGGCTCACTGGGTGTCTTTGGGCAAGTCACTTTAGAGACCTGTCATTGTTGGGAGGTGGGCACTTGTGGTGTGTGTTCTCTGCTCTCATTCTGACTCCATCGCGCCTCCCGCGATGCAGGAAACAGACACAGTTCAGGGTGTGCTGCCCGTGGCCACCGGCTGCAGATGCCCTGGTCTGGTGGGCCTCAGGTCAGGCTCCCCCTGGCTCGGCGAGAGGGGCTGCCGCGCCCCCCCCTTTGTAGGGCTGCAGTGAGGACACTCCTCATGCTGTTGACCTGTCCTCGGTCCACAGACCGAGGCCTGTGCCTCTAGCCCGAAGGCTTCTGTGACTCGTTCGGGACTCTGATAGAAGGGCCAGGGTCCTCGTCTGCGCCCAGGTGCCTGGACACCCCTAGCTGGTAGGCGTTCCTATTCTCTCCCGGCCCCTCTTTGCTCCCGCAGGCTTTAGTTTTGTCTGTGAAGTTGGGAGCACCGACCCTCCTCGGGAGCACCTTGGAGCAGATGCTCTTCTCAGCTGAAGGCCTGAGTGGAAACTTGGAACGGAAACTGTGAGCGCTTTTGTTCTCTGAGTCTCTCCTGGCTTTCCTGTGCAGCCAGCCCATGCCCTCAGAGAGACTGTTTTGCATGTGGTTGTTAAACTTTGATTCCGTGACTCATGCTGGGGCGAAGGCTTCACGTATGCCTCCCTCATTTGATTGCTTTCTTCTTTTCCCTTTTTTTTTTTTTTAAAGCTCAAAGCAAAACTACCTTGGCAGCTGACCGTGACTCTGGCTTCCAGGAAGGGGAGCTTTGGTATGAAGTGCCTCCTAATGGCTGTGTGGCCCAGCCCGGCTGTGCTCCCCCAGCTTGGGTGACACCTGGCTAACCAGGAGGACAGCTGGGGGCGCAGAGAGGAACACTGGGTGCCCACCGTGGGGGCTGGAGCAACGCACCCTCCTGGTGAGTGCCTGCCCCCACCCCATCAGTCAGTGTGACAGGCCCCTTGCAGACTCGGGTCCAGGGGTGGAGGAGAGAGACAGAACACAGGGGACGGGGGGCGGGCTGAATCCAGTTCTTGGATTAGCATTATTCTGAACAATTTGATTTCCCATGCCTTACATGATGTTAAGTACATAGATAAAAAAAAAATAAGGTGAAATCCTTGCTCATTTTAGCACAATTATATTTAATTTCAAGAGGCCTTTCGTGGGAGAAAGATTAATTGGAGGAACTCTTCAGTTTAAGTAAAAACTGCTGCGATCTTTGAAGATATTTTAATTTTATGAAGTCAGAAGGTCTAGAACTTTCAGGCACATTTTCAACCTGTCTCCAGGCTCTTGAAAGCATCTCTTAGACTAGATACTGATTTGTGGGTGTCTAGTTTCCGGGCAGGTCAGGAATATTTGGGAGCAGGCCCAAGCCCCAACTCCCCCTAAAGGATGGTTCTGTGGGCTTCGAGAAGGCCCATGAGGACATGGAAATAAGTCTTAACCGCTGGCAATGAAGACAATTTTGGCTAATGCCCTGTGGCTGTTAGAGACCTCAGCCATGCCTCCAGGATTCTGAAGTCCTCTCCAAAGCCAGGTGATGCTAGCCCAGGAACACTGATACCTGACACGTGAATATGTTGGGTGTGGAAGATAGTTGAGGGTGGTTTTTGAAAAACCTTGTTACAGAGTTGCCCTGGGGTATGGATCAGGGCTTGTGTGTATATACTTGCGTGTATATCCAAAGTAACCTATAGCAGACAGAGGAACAAGGGACAAGTTCAAGGAGAAAACAGAAGGCCAGGCCACCCCTGCTCACAGCAGCACTATTTACAACGGCCAAAAGGTGGCAGCACCCCAAGTGTCCACCTGCAGGTGAATGGATAAACACAAGGTGGTCTCTATACACGATGGAAAATGATTCAGCCTTAAAAAGGAAGAAAATTCTGACATATGCTTGCAACAGAGTGAACCTTGAAAACATTATGCTGAGCCAAATAAGCCAGGTAGAGAAGGACAAATACTGTATGATTACACTTCTAGAAGGTACCTGGAGTCATCAAAGTCATAGAGATGGAAAGTAGCAGTGTGGTTACGAGGGGCAGGTGGGGGAGAGAGGGTGGGGAGTTAGTGTCTAATGGGGACCGGGTTTCAGTCTTACGAGTTGAGAAAGTTCTGGAAATGGATGGTGGTGTTGGTTGCTTAATGCCACCGAGCTGTCCTCTTAAAAATAGTTCCTATGGTAAATTTTATGTTATGTATAATTTACCACAATTTTTTAAAAATTATAATGCCCTTTAAAAATCCCCCAAAAGCCATGCCCAAAACACAATCTCGTGGACTGAAGTTTTTCCCTCTCTGTGACTTCCCCAAAATCTAACTGACAACTCCACTGATCTGAGCTGAACCAGAAAACTGCACGGACTGTGTTCACAAGAGCTTTCTCCTCAACATGCGGGTGACTTCTGGCTGTCATCATGTGCTGGATTGCTGTGGGGCTGGCAGAGGTGAACAGGAACGGGATTTGAGGGTCAGGGGCGTCCGGGGGCCAACGCATGGGCTCGCCTTGCTCCGTGGCCCCCTGAGCCCCCGGGCAGCACCCTCTGGGCCAGGTGGTAGCAGGAGTCACCACCCTTGGGAGTCTAGGCCGTCCCATTTATTAGCTGCGGGACCCTGGGTAAGTTGGCAAAACCTCTCTTTTCTTTAGTGTTCTTACTTGCCACATGAGTCATGAGGTAGCCCTTTTCCATCTCCCACAGAGTTTGGGATCTCCAAAGATAATAGGCAAGGAAGCACCCTCTCACTATAAAATACCGGGTACCTGTGACCTGCTGGCTCTCTACTTGCCTTATCTAACGCCCCCCCTCCCTTTCTCCTTCTTCAGTTACTCTTGTATTCTCTTCCTCCGGGGCTCTTCCAGTCAGACGTCAACCTGGATTGGCTGATTCTAGAACAGGTCTGCTCTGATTCCCATCATTAGAAATTTCTCCCTCTCCCCCCTCCCTCTTCCTCCTCTCCTGCCCTTTGGTGAGGCCACCTCCAACGCTGGATTCCACCCGAGCGCATCTCCACAGCGGCCTTGGCCGCCCCCCCCCCCCCCATAGGGTAGCGCTGGGAGGCCGACCTCTGTGAGCAGAGCTCCCGAGAAGACCGAGGATTTTCGCAGTGTTGCTAATTAATCATCTGGGCTCTTTGTGACTTCCAGTCAAGCTTGAGGAAGAAAACAGAAATGAAATTGTTCATACTTTCAGGACTTAAAAATAGAAAGGAGAGAGAAGCTGCTGGTGGGGTTGCTGCTCAAGGGGAGGGAGGTGGCCTGAGGGCCAGGGGAGGCTCCTGAGGACAGACCCCTCGCCCCCAGCTCAGGTTTCTTATTTAGAAGTTTTAAAAGGAAATCAAGTTGATTTTAAAGTCTCAAGGGGGGCAAAAGAAAGCCTCTGAAGTAGGTGGATTCTTTCAGTTAGTGTTGTATGCAAACGGCTCTCCTGTCCCATGACCTTTCAAAAGTCTCCTCAGAAAAGGAGCTCTTTTGGGGTGCCTGGCTGGCTCAGTTGGAGGAGCATGCAACTCCTGATTTCGGGGTTGTGAGTTCGAGCCCCACACTAGGTGTAGAGATTACTTCCAAAAAATAAAATCTTAAAAAAAAAATAAAAGAAAGAAAAGGAGCCCTTTTGGAACCTGTGGGTGCTGTGGAGAGCTGCTGGGGATGGGGCCTCGCGTGGCCGCTCTCGTTTCCCCACCCCAGGTATAAGCCCCAGGTCCCAGCCCCAGGTCTTTTCATTGTGAAAATGTTTATGATGCTGTCATACCAGACCACAAAGTTATAAAACAAGCATGGACTCTCCTTGCAGCTGTTACTTTGTGACCAAAGAGAAGCCCCCCAGCCCAGGTGTATTTTGGTTTTTCCATCTCTGTAGTAACAAGACGTTACCTCCATCTTGAACACGACTCAAAGCGACACATTACTTTTGGCATCTACGTATGGTCAGTCTCTGCCCCTAACTATATTACCTTGACCCTGTGCCATTCGGAGCCTCAGATTCTTCACCTGTGAAAAGGGAAGGCTGTTATCGCTAGCCCCCCCTCCCCCCCATCCCCAGGCACGTTGGGAAGTTCAAGGAAGTGTCTCCACGCAGGCGAGGTGGAAACACTGAAGAGCTCCATGAACACAGACTGCTGTGTTCATGCTGCCTGTCCCAACCTTTCTTCTTTTCTCCCCCTCTCTCACTTCTGTTCCCTCTCTCTTTACTCTCTCCCACCCCTCCTCTCTCTTCCCTTCTCCTCTGTCTTTCAAATCAAAATAAGGGCCATCGGCAGGCATGGGCAGGGAGGGGTGGAGGTGGAGTGGAGCTGGGCTAGCAGGATTGGGAAGGACAGGCGTGACAGTGGGGTCAGGCCTGGGGCAGGGAGGGGCAGGCCTCCAGGCAGAGGGAGGAAGAGCCCGAATGAAACCCATGGGTCTTTCAGGGACAGTGAGCAACGCCTGGTGTGAGGCTGGCCTGCCAGGCTGGGTGAGGATCCTCTTGCTCCATGGAGACCAGACCAAAGCTGGACCCCAGTCTGAGAGAACAACCATCCCGAGGGGAAGGACTGGTCGCCGGTCAAGAAGCAGAAGGTGAAGCTGGACTGGAAGAACATGGCTGAGGGGGCTGGGGAGTGGGCCGGTCCTGGTGGAGAGGGCCTTGGCTCTCCTGCTCAAGAGTTGTGACATTTACTCTGTACAGGATGGAGGGACAGAAATCTTGGTCCGTGGACTAGCTAGCTTAGTGTTGTGGTGGGTGGCAGTGTGGTGAGGAGGCCCCCCCAGGGCCCCCCGGGAGAGATGCCACAGCTCTTCCCCGACTGGGAAAAGCCAGCTTGTCCTTCGTTGTCCAGTCCCATGGGGGTCTTTCTGGACCTTCCTTTCCCCTGAAAGGAAGATAAGTTATTCCTCACCTGAGTTTTGAAAGCACATTTTTTTTCTATTTGAAAGTATTGTGCTTATTGTCATGATGTATGGCTTGTTGTTTACATTTTGGTCTGTTTTCCTAAATAGGTTGGGAACAAATTGAAATTGGGCTGTATATTAGTTTATGGAACTGGGTCCCAGCACAGTGCCTAGTGCCCAGTAGGTGGTCAGGAAGTGTTTATTACATGAATGAATGAATGATGGATGGATGGATGGATGGATGGATGGATGAATGGATGAACTAGGGTCCTGTTGTGTAAGGCAGAGGGCATGCTTGTGGAAAATGTGCAGGAAGTAGAAACTGTCCAGTTGCGTGTGGAAGTGAGGCAAAGGGAGAGTGAGAGATGACCTTGAGGTTTCTTCTTGGGGCCGAGGGGACTCCACTCAATGAGATGGGAACCCAAGAAAAAGTATTTGAGGAGGGAAGACTATTTTCGGCTTTGGGCATCAATTGAAGAAAACTCTATTGAACTTCCCAATATACTAGCACTGTGCCAGGTGCTGGTGATTTTGAGGCAAATAGGTGGGAATGTAGTTCACAGTTTCTTGAGATACGGATAAATGACAAATCAGTGCGTTCTAACAGAGGTGTGAGCGAAGTGCCTGGTAGATAGATGATCAAGCCACTCATTCTGTTTGTAGACTCAGGGGTGACCACTTTGAGTAGCATTTGAGCTAAATCTTGAAGTTTGGTGAACTCAAAAGAGCATTCCAGGTAGAGAGGAAAGCATATGCAGAAGCACAGTGATGAGAACATTCTGGAATGCTTGGGGAGCGGGGGTGGGGGTGGGGAGTAGATTCAGAAGTAGAGTTCTCAAGAGAAAGGGCCAGGTGGGCCAGTGGTGGGTGAGGAGGTGGACCGAGGTCAGCACTGCATGGTGGTGGCTCGGGAGACGGCTCCGGAATTTGGTGTCTTTCTTGTCGTCAACATGGTGTCTGAGGATGTTTCTAAGAAAGGGCGTGATATGGTCAGACTTGTTCTGGAAATATACTGCTGGCTACAAACAGGGGCTAGGCCAGATGGGGTTTCGGAGGGAGACCCATAGGAGGCTGTGACAGTGAATTAGGTATGGGATGAAGAAGGTGTGGGGGGGTGGTGTAGGGGGCAGGTGGGCAGATGAGGGTGAGAGAGCCCAGGCTAAAGGAGGGCAAGACCCTGTACCTCTGTCCTGGGGTCTTGGGTGACATGTCTATGCTTCACCTCCATGGAACCATCTTCTTGGAAATACCTACTGGAAAGCTCTGGATTTAAGAAGAAACTTTTGGTTTCAGAACTCCTTTTCACTTTCAATAATTATTAGGGATGCAAAAGAGCTTTTGTTTATGTGGGGTTATATCCATCCATTGATATGTACCTTATGGAGAAACTAAAATTAAGAAATTAAACAATATTCCTTTACCTTAAATAATAATAAACCATTACATTTATATAAATGATGCATTTTTATGAAAAATAACTGTTTTCCCAAACCAGAAAATTTGTAAGGAGACTGACACTGACTTACATTGTGCAAATCTCTACTATGTGGCTTAACAGAAGACGGCTGGGTTTGCCTATCGGCTTCTGCATTGGCTCTGTTGCAATATTGCACGACACGGAATACTTACTTCATGATGTATTCGTAAGGATGAGAGTGGGAAAAAAAAGCAAATTACACCTTAGTGTTATTATGAAAACAGTTTTTACTTTGAAGTCTCCCTGAAAGCGTTGTAGGCCCTCCCCGAGTTTCGACGGACCACACTTTGAGAACCACTGAAGTAGACTCAGCAAATGTTTGGCGAGTGACAGTATTCTGAGCTCCCCCCGCCCCCAGCACTTTATTCAAATAGCATGCATACCATTTACCTTACAGATTTATAACTGGGGGTGCCTGGTGCTTAGGGAGGTCTCAGCTAGAAGTGCAATTGTGGACCCCCGGGTGTAGGGGCAGGTGGGGAGCATGATGGGGAGAGCAGACAGCCTGGGCAGGACCCCATTGTCAAACACGTGAGCAGAGACTAAGGAAAGAACTGGAAAGACTTAGAAACTCAGGCCAAGTTGTATGGCCTCAGGGAGAAGAGTTTCAAGAGGAGGTGGTCCAAAATGTTTTCCAAATGTTTTATTTAAAATGACATGCGAGGGTGTGGTCCTCGGCGTTGAGAGCTGCAGGGAGTTTGGATAAGATGCTGAAGCTGCTGTTGGATACGGCAGTGAGGAGGTCCCTGGGGAGCTTGGGGGGGGGCAAGAGTGGGGGTGACACGCGGAAGAGCAGCCGGGCCGCTCTGTCCAGGTTGCAAAAGCCCTTGTCCTGCCAGAGCCGTCGGGGTCATTCTACTGGGGCTCCAGCCTCAGGGCAGTGGCCCTGCAGAGAACGGGGAGCCCCGCTGAGAACCTGGTAGGAAGGCGCGGTTGCTGCCAAGGATGTGGGCAGGAGACCAGGAAGGGGAAGTTGCGAGCACCTGTCCTCTGGGGAAGACGGCGGGTGACAGGATGGATGCGCACCTGTCCTGCTGAGAAGACGGCGGGTGACAGGGTGGATGTGCGTGGGTGTTCCTTGAGCCTGATCTGTAACAGGGAGAAGGGGAAGGCAAGCTACACTTCCGTCATGTGGCATGGAGAGTCCGATGGGCCAGGCGCTGTCCTAAATGCTGGGGGTGCAGGGAGAAGCAGAACAGAAAAACTGGCATGGAAAGATTTCCCGGATGCAGTTTTAATAAGAAAAGCAAGTTGCTGCACAACCATATAGTGTGATGCTATTTATGTAAAAACAACCCCGCTAAGACAATATGTGTGGATCTATTTGATACGCAAGTCAGGACATCGGAAAAGCACGAGGATACAAACAAACAGCAGGAGAGGCAAGTGGGATTTGGGGTTTGTACGGAGAGACATTTTATATTTTTATTCTTTATGCTTTAGCATTGTTTCACTTTTTTCACAGTAAATATATTTTCATGATTCTTTTTTTAAAGATTTATTTATTTTAGAGACAGCATGCACACAAGTGGGGGGAGGGGCAGAGGGAGAGAGAGGGGGAAGCGGACTCCCCACTGAGCGCAGCGCTGGGCTTCATCACAGGACCCTGAGACCATGACCTGAGCCCAAACCAAGAGTGGGATGATTAACTGGCTGAGCCACCCACATCCCCAAATCTCGTCTTCTTATAAGGACACTAGTCATATCGGACCAGGGATCACCCTAATGACCTCATTTTAACTTAATCAACTCTTTAAAGACCCTATGTACGAACGTAGTCACAATCTGAGGTGCTGGGAGATAGGGCTTTAGCGTATGAATTTGTCAGAGCCTCAGGAACATTCCTCTGGCCTGTGCACAGATGTTCCAAGCGCTGGGTGGTCTGCTCAGCTGCCCTCAGTGCCTCCGGCCAGTGGATCTTTGCGGGGGGCCCCTGTGTGGGGTGAAGGCCTCAGAAAGTGCACAAGTAAAAGCAACATGATTGCATCTGTGGCTCCCCAACCACACTGAGCAACTGAAAATCCCCAAGGGGACCAGGCAACATGATTTCCTGACAGATAAGGCGGGGAGGGAGTGTGCATAATTTGCCCTCAGTAACCCGACAGCCTCCAGGCCCGGCGGCTCAGAAAACACCTGATGGATGCTTTTTCTCTTTAGCTCATGCCACCGTGGCTCTGCCAGAAGGAAACCAGGGGCCGGACCCTCGCCGGGGGCCCAGCTGGCACGGCATGGAGCGCTCAAGCAAGATGGAGTTCTTCCAGAAGCTGGGCTACAGCCCGGAGGATGTGGTCAGGGTGCTGGGCAAACTGGGTGAGGGCGCCCTGGTCAATGATGTGCTGCAGGAGCTGATCCAGACCAGCAGCCGCCCGGGGGCCCACGAGGGCAGCGCGGCGCCCCTGCTTATCCCCAGGGGCTCCTGCGCCACCCCGGACTCTGCCCTGCGCAGGCAGGCGGCAGAGCTGGAAGAGGATTGTGGAGACCCAGCCAGTTCCTTGCGACCCATAGTGATTGACGGCAGCAACGTGGCAATGAGGTACTTTGCTTCATCTTGTAGCCTTGGGGTGGGAGAACTGTCCCCCTTTTCAGTGGTTTCGTCCAAAGAGTTTTGAGGCTAACGGATGGGCCTTTGAATCCCCGTTCCATCCCCTTGGTAGCTGTGTGGCCTTACGTAAGTCACTTAACCCCTCTGAGCCTCACTTTTGCCATCTGTAATGTGGGTATAAAGCCTCCCTAGAAAGTAGTTGTAAGACCTGGAGCTGCACCAAATACCTAGGACGGTGCCTGTCGAAGAGTAATTGTTCAACAGGTGGTTCCTACTATCATACCAACCCAGAGAGAGGCTCTCTTCTGAGGAGGGCACTAGGGAACTGGGGAGGAACCTAGGGTTGGGCCTTGGCAGATTGTGGCTTCTTGTCTCGAGTCTCCCATCTCAAGTTTCTTCTGTGACACCAGGCTACTAAGAGCTCTGCTACTTCCCTCGGGGTAACGAGAATCAGATGGGGAAAGGTGCTTGAACAGGAAGCCCTCTCCCGGGGGAGGAGACCTGCTGCTCCAGGGGTGGCTGGTGGTGCTGTGGTTCCCCAGCTGGTCTGAGACGCGCCCCCATGGCCCCTGAGCTGCAGACACGGTGGTTGATATTTGTGTCTGGGCATCTTGGTGTGTTTCAGTGATGACAGCCTGACGCCTGCGTGGCTAAAATCAGCTTGCAGACACTCTCACTGTCTCAGCCACACTCCACGCAGGCAGGCAGGAGGTTGTATTCATACAAGTGCAGTTCTGTGCTACGTGCCTTAGTTACAGGTGGGCAAAAGGGCAGATCCCTAGGAAATCAGTCCCTCATAGCTGTAAACAGAGGACTTCCCCTTTCAAAAGCTGAGCCACTGGCTGGAACTGAGAAAATCTGTCTTACCCGCAGAGCTGAACGTGTCAGGAGGGCGTCTGTCTTTTGGCTGACAGGTCCAGTGGCTTTCCTTGGGGGGATTGGGAAGGCTCACTTTGGACTTGGCACTGCAGGACAGAAGTGTAGAATGGTCCCACCCAGAATGGCCCAGCCCTGGGTGCTCTCCCTAGGTGTCCCGCTTTGTGTGTCCTGGGAGTGTTGGCTCAAGTTTGAGCCAGCCAGGTCACCCTGGGGTGGTCCTGGGGTCTCTGTAACATCCACACACATGCTCCCATGTAAGTACCCGATAGACCAGTCTATGAAATCCTGCTTAATTTGAGATATCAGGGGGAGTTGAAAGGACTTTTAGGAATCTTTAAGGTTCTGAGTGTCCTAGAAAGTCTGAGGATTGTGAGGGGGACCCGGCCTCTGTCTGATCAGGACAAGCCACCTCTCCTTCTGGACATCCATTGAGAGAAGCTTTTAAAGGTAAAAGGGTATTGCTTAAACTGAAGACCTTTCCAGCTCTAAGGTTATACCAGCTCTCTGATTCCAGACCAAAAGAATGGCTGTGGGCTAGAAGGACTATGTCAGGTGCTACAGGAAAGTGTGGGCAGGCTCTTGTGGGGGACCAATTTTTAGAAATTATTTTGATAGGGTGGTGTTGGAGGATTTTCTGTTGATGAAAATCTCTGTTGCTGCTTGGAATTCAAACTTAAACTGCGTCTTCTCCTTGTGTGTGACCACGATGTGTCCCAGGTAAATCCATTTATTCCCACCCCCACCTCCCACAGTTGTCATCCGTTGAACCCCTTCACTCTCCATCTGTGTGGGTGACAAATGGAAGCCATCACTCAGGCTTGTCATAAAGAGTGTGTCAGAACACTAAACGCTTGCTGCCTAAAAATCATCTCAGTCAACAAAGCACACTTGTGTCTTCATGAGGTCTCAGAGTGTGGACATCTCTGTGCGTGCGCACACGTGTCTGTATGCACACAAACATCCCATTCCTTTCCCCTGCCCCCTGCATCTCTAGTTAGGAAAAAAAGACACATCACACAGCCACCAGTTGGTGGGTGGGACTTGGTCTGCTCAGAGGCAAGTCTGGGAGACAGCTGGGGTCTAAGGTCCGGCCCCATCCCCCGCTTCTTCTCCTGCAACAGTGTCCTCCCACTGTGTCCTCCAGCTGGAGCTCCCACACGAACCCATGACCCTCAGACTCTGCCAGGTCCCAGCTGCGAAGGACCGGTTTCAGAGTGGGGCTCACCCTTTAGAGGCAATGGGTAGTTTGAAACCCAACATGGTGTCTAGTTATGATCTGTTGACCTCAAAACTCAGTTAACCTCAGAAACAGGGTTTCTGAAAATTCTCCTTTCCTGAGGTTTTGTAGCGTCACAGTCGTGGCCATTCTCTGCTTTTGAAGAGGATATGGCTTCATCTGCTGTCTGGCCCTGGAAGAAGTGGGGAAAGACTGAAAAGGCAGATTGGGACACATGTCCTTGCTGCCCGGAGGGGCTGCCAAGGGTCCGAAGCTCTCAGTCCTGACCTCTAGCTGAGAGCTGCCCAATAAAACTCCCTTCGATGATGGACAGTTCGATACCTGCACTGTCCATTACGATGGCCACTGGATGCATGGGGCTGCTAAGCACTTCGAATGTAGCTATTGTGACCAAGGAGCTGAATTTTAAATTTTATTTCTTTTGAATTAATTTGAATTTAAGTGTAAACAGCCACAGGCGGTGAGTGCCTATGTATTGGACTGTACAGATCTAGCTTTTCAGCTGTGTGACCTCGGAGTGAGTCACCTGATGTTTTTGAGCCCTGTTTATACAATTAAGAGGTTGGATGAAATAATAATAATTTTAAATGGCTTTTCATCTGTAAAATCATAGGATTCAAGGTGATTATTTTATGCATGCATGAAAGAGATAAATGCATTCTTCTTATAAAGGAATTTCTCATCTTCTGCCGAGGTTCAGAGAGGGTAGGTAACTTGCCCAAGGTCACAGAGCAGTAAGTGCCAGGCTCTGCTTTCAGAGCTCTTTCCAAAGAGCCATGCATCTTTGGCTTTCTCTCTGCCCAGGCTTCGAAAACGTCTCAGGGTGGGAGACTGACCTCATGGACTTTGACTCGGGGGCCAGAGGCTGCCTGTGCTGCCCAGAGCCCTTCCCCTGCAGGATGAGCCCCGTCTTGCCTGCTGCAGACAGGTTGCGCCGGGCCCCCCAGTTCCCCACCAGGGGGCAGGTGCTCTCTGCAGGACCGGTGCCCAGGACGCCTCTCCTGCTGCGGCCAGCCTGTTGGGACCGTGTGCTGAGGGCAGCGCCTATGCAGTGACGCGTGGCCCCGGTGCAGCGGTGCAGAGACTGATTTTCCAGCACAGTCCCCGTACCTCCGCGGGGAGGGGCGGCGGTGTGCCTGTGCGCATGCGCACGTGTGTCCGTGCCGGAGCGACGAGGCGGGGAGCTGCGTACTCGAGGGCTCTGCGCTTGACCCCGGGGAAAGCGTCCAGCAGGCTTGAGGCAGAAGGTGGCTTTCGTGGACCGCGTGTTAAGAGCTGCCAGGGGCGTTGGGAGGAGCACGGCTTCTCACGGGCCGACTGCTGCCCGCTCTGCTTGCCAGGCTGACTCTCGAGTGCCCCCTGGGTTGTGCATTCTGTGGGCAAGTGTCGGAAAAGAGAGATGTGAAGGACTTCAGCTTGGGGGAAAACCACCTGATAATTTCACATCCTCTTGCTGCCCCAGACAAGGGTTTCATGTAAATGGGCCCTCATTTTGGGGTGCACCGGGCTTTTTGTTTGGGTTCTCGTGTACATTTTTAAACTCTTAGGAACCTCAACAGAATCTGGCTTATTCTGGAGTCACAAATCTTCGGTGACGAGGGCTCGGGCCTGCAAGGGGGTGGAGGGGGTCATCAGCCCCCTCTCAGTGGGTTACTAGGGGAGGCTGCACACCTGGGCTGGGGGGTCACACCTGCTTCTGAGCCCCTGAGTTGCCTCTGACCCATGCTGGCTAGGTCTGCACCCGTTTCTCCTTCTCTGAGATGAAGGTGCCCTGTCTCTCAGAGGCCACCCTCTCTCTTCCCCCTGACCTCAGCTGGGGAGAGATCTTTGGGTGCAAAGGCTATAAGCTGCAGGTCCCAGGGGTTTGCAATTTAACCCCAAATAAGAAACGGAGTGGGAAGAGTGGCGTGCCTTCCCATGTCATGCTCTGAAGAGACCACCACTTCTCTTTTCCTTTTCCTTCCCTCCCACCCCACAACCGCCACCTCACGCTCTGTGGGACTGTTCCGTGAGCCGCTGACTTCGGCAGAACCTCCTGGGCAAGAGTCCACGGATACAGTGATGAGCCACGAGGTGGGCTACTTCCTACACATGGTGGCCAGACTGTGGCTGCCCACCTGGCCTGCAGACAAAGTTTGCCTGGGGCACTTTCCCTCACCACTCTCCCTTTATTCAAAACCTCCCTCCTCTGTCTCCTCCCAGGGCCGGGCTCTCAGCTTGCAGTCTGACGAGCTGGTTCGTCAGTAACGTTAGTAACATTCGTCAGTGACCGTTAGTAAGCGCTAAGGTCCCTCCCCAGACACCAGCCTTGTAACAGCAGGGGACTTAACACTCCAAAGGAACTGCTGTCTCCATCTTAGGGGCAGAGACTGGGAGGGCCGGGAATACACGGGGTAAGCCATAGAGGAGGAGGAGGAGGTTGCAACCCTACAGATCAGGCTCTGAGATCTGTCTTTAGATCAGGGAGTTGGGCACATTTCTTTGCTTTAGTTTCCTCAAGGGTGCAGTGGGACAACGCTCACTTCCTCAGGGGCTCCTTGTAACGATTGAAGCACAGAGTGCAAAGTGGCCTGGTACACAGGACTCGCTACAAATATTAAAAATGAGCTCCAAGAAGCAGCAGTAATGAGGTCTGTCTTGTTCACCGGTCTCGAGGACCCAGCCTGGAGCCTCGCTGAAGACGTTCATAAATCGATATGGAGTGCGTGGAGGGATGCCTAAGTGAACGGGTGCTTCTGCATTTCCGTCTGTGTGCCGAGTGGTGCGGTCCTAGGGTGACCGTGGCCGCTTTCTTGCCTGACTGGGAGCTCTGCTGGCTCCTAGAGAGAGACCCCCACAAGTAGCGAGAAGGTAGCCCCTGCTTGTGGCTTCAATCCTGCCATGGCCCAGGCCTTTCTGTGGTCAGAAATAGGGAAGCCATACTGGGGTTTTGAGGTTGGTAAAAAAAAAAAAAAAAAGTGGCAAGGATTGAACAATAACAATCTTTGCATCTCAGAAGAGACCAGAAAGCTCAGAAGAGAGGTTAGGGTGGGGTGTGTGGGAATCCAGTCCTGCAAAACAACAGACCTGAATGAAAACCCTCCATTCCAGAGACAACGGCTTAGTGATTCTAGGGTTTAGTCCCTGACTTCCCTTGCCTGGAGTCAAAGCTGGAAAGGAGAGCACTTCTTAGGGAGGGAAGGAAGGCTATGGGCAGATGCATGTTTTTTCTGTCTTCTCCTGGACTTGCCCTTTTGAAACTCTTGGCTAAGGGTCTGCCATCTTGGAGTCTTGTGTCCGAGAAGCCATGGGACCGGTTTTTGATGCTTGAAGCCGATGGTAGCACCATTCCTTAGTTTTTCTCTTCCTGAACTCCTGAACTACCAATCCCTTCCCCTCCACATGCCCCCAGCAGGGCCACTGCAGGCTGTGGTCCTGCCCACCATCACCAGAACTCATCACCCTGCTCACCTTTGTCTCTTCGGAGGGATTGGGTTCCGCTTCATCACTGAACGTGCCCCTTCCAGCCACCTACCCATCAAAGGTGTGTAGTCACAGAAACTGATGGGAAGTCATGGGGCGCCTGGGTGGCTCAGTCGTTAAGCGTCTGCCTTCAGCTCAGGTCATGATTCCAGGGTCCTGGGATCGAGCCCCACATCGGGCTCCCTGCTCGGCGGAAAGCCTGCTTCTCCCTCTCCAACTTCCCCTGCTTGTGTTCCTGCTCTCGCTGTCTCTCTCTCTCTGTCAAATAAATAAATAAAATCTTAAAAAAAAAATAGAAACTGATGGGAAGTCACAGAAAAGAGAGCACTCAAGACACCATTTTAAAAGAATTATGGCAGTGATAGGTTTGCTCAAGAACTGATGGAGGGTAGACTTCGTGGCAGCCGACAGAGGCATGTTTGGGGGTGGGGTGTCTTTAGTTGTTCACATTCCTGCTTCAGTGTGCACAGAAAATAGACCTTCTTTTCCAGGATAGATACGATCTCTTCCCTACCTGTTTAGGTAGTGGAGAGGGGCAAACCTAAACTTACCAATTTGTGATATCTTGGTGTCTTCTGCCGTCTGGATGATTTGGGGTTCATGTTTCCTCTCCCTCCCCTGCTCTTCTCCCACATGGCATCTGGGGGCCTTGAGACCTGATGTTGGCTGGGAGAGGGGGGTCTGGGACTCTCACTGGGTTCTGCTAAAGAGCGGCTGGTCTGGCCTGGCCTGGCTTCTGAAGGGTCAGCGGAGAAAAGTCATTGGTCCCATTTGGCCTTTTGGAATGCCATCCTGGCTTACAGTTCTGCCCCCCTCCAGGGGCCTATTTGTCCATCCACAGGCCTCAGACAATCCACGAGGCCCGGGGGCATGTGAGGGATCCAGGGATGTTGCTTCCAGCTCACCTGTCTACCCCTCTCCTCCAAGGCAGCCCTGCAGCCCTGTGGGATGCTGCACCTGCTAAAACCAGGATTTCTCTGAGAAGCTTATGACCTGCCTAGGCTGTGCTGGGAGACAAGCCTGCAGCCTCCTCTTCACACCCGTCCTGATGTTTCTACCCCTGCCCCCCTTCTGGCTCAGGCAGTGGAGCAGGTGGGGAATGCAGGGGTGAGGACCCCGTGAAGGACCCCCACTTTCTCCCTCCATCGCCTTTCTTTTTTCGGCTTCTGCTGGGGCAGAGGGATGCGCTGTCCACTTCCTCTTCCTTTCCCCACAGACATTGATGTATTTTCTCCTTACGGTTTGCATCAGCCTCCCAGCTCAGCCTCCATGGCCAGAGGCCTATTTTCTCTAAACCGGAAGACACCCACCGATGTAGGACGCAAGGCCTGGTTCCTGATCTGTCCCTGGAGCCGAAGCAATTCAGAGTTCTCATTCAGTCTCTCCACAGAGCCTGACTTGCAATACTATCAATTCATGTTTCCGAAGACTCCCGTTTTTCTCTTGCAAACCCAGAGCTATCCTGACCCCTCTGAGGAAGTATCAGGAGGGGCCACACCCAAGACAAAGCCCAACACGAAAAATCTGGAGCATTGTCCTTGTCTGGACGTAGGGAGCGGGCTGCTGCGGACCAGGCTTCTCAGGGGACGGGTGTCTCGGTGACCTGTGGCTGTCCCCTTTGCTCCCTCCCCATGCCCCGGTCACTCTGTTCTCTCTTTGGCCCCTGGACAAGCTGAGCCTTTCCTGCGTTGGGGTCTTTCCAGCCGGCTCCCCCTCTAGCTGCTTGCAGGACCTGTGTGTCTTCTCAGCTGCTCCCGGGTTCAGCACATTTTTACTGACCGCTACCAACCATCGGGCACCGCGCTAGGTGCTGGGAATTCAATGGGGAGCAAAAGGAGCTTGTGATTTAGAGAGGGGGAGACCCGTTCATCCTATGGTGGGTGTCATCCTTCAACTGTGATTAGTGCTGTGAGAACTTGTAATAGGGGGCGGGTGGGGGGGAGGCTTTCCTGAGAAAGTAGAGATGAAGGTGAGATCTGAAGGAGGAGGAGGCGTGGACTGGGCCGAGAGGAGAAGAAATAGCTGGTTCAAAGGTCCTGCGGTAGGAGTGGGGAAGGTGCCTGGCCAGGGTAAAGGTAGCTGGGCTGCAAGCAGAGCGGAGAGTGACCTCATCCTGAGGCCAGGCTGAGTCGCACCCAGGGCTAAGCCTGATTCGCAATCTCATTCCCTCAGGTCTATCCACTTGTCTCCCTCACCAGCAAAACACCACCGACCTGCACGGACTCAGTCTGAGGGATGTTCTCAGACTTTATGGGTCCCTCCGAGCAGCACCCGGCCACCTCCTTCCTGTGGCTTGCAAATGCAGGACTCCTCTGGTTTACTTCCTTGTGGCCTGATAGACCCTTTCTGTCTCTTCTATAAGATTGCCCTACCCTCCCCGTCACTAGCTACTGAGTCCCAGAGCGCCCCCAGACCCGTCTTCCAGGCCTCTTGCTCTCCCTCCGGGGAGCCAGGCAGTTCTCTCCATTCCCTGGTTCCAGCCCTTGTGTGAGGACAGACGCCCCCAGTGTCCATCGCCCAGAACTCTCTTCTGGACCCCAGCTGTGTACTTAGCGGTTCCACCCAGAGGCCACAGAGGCTCCTCCCACTCAGTGTGTGTCCGTGACAACACTCTTTGCCTCCGAGCGCTTTCCTCCTCCAGAACTCCCAGTCTCAGCGAGGAGCCCACCAGCTACACAAGCCAGAGATCTGGAAGCCTTCTCTATCACCCTGTACCCCATCAGTCACCACATTCTGGAGGTTTTCCCTCCTGATATCTCTCAGGTTCACCTACTCTTCTCCCTTCGCCGCTGCCACCCACGCGGGCCGCGTCACCATCCAGTTTTGCTGTGATGATTGTGACAGCTTTTTAACTGGGACCCCACCCCCACCTCACTCCCTTCCGATGTGGCATCCGCTGTGCTGCCAGATTGAGGAGCTAGAAACACACCCTGGGTCCTGTCACATCAATCACATAGACCCCCCCCCCCCCCCGTCTTCAAATCCTTCTATGGCTTCTCATTCCTCTTAGGAGAAGAAAGTCTTCAGGAAGGCACGCAAGGCCCTGCCTGGTCTTGGGCCTCCTCTCACACTGCTCTCTCTTTCCTGCCTCCATTGACACTTCAGTGGCATTTGTGGGGCACATTGGCCTCCTTACTTGGACTTGGGGAGCCCCGTAACACATTTACACCCCTCTGTTAAGGCAAGAGTATTCTGCAGATGGCTACTCTCCTCTGCCTTATGTTGATCCTTACTAGCTTCAGGGGAAAAGGGGGGTCTTGTCAATTAATCCTTGGAATGCCCCTCCCTTGGAGCCCAGCACCCGCTCTGGATACGTACTATCTATCGCAAGCTGCATGGTGCAGGTTAAGGGATATGTTTTTTGCAAAGAATGAACTATTTTTAAAATGCAGATTTTCCTGATTCCCTTTGATTAGGAGACTGTGATTCAGGATATTCCCAGGGGAAATCACCCTTCAGGAACCCTTCCTGTGACTCTACAGATTTCTGTGTTTTCCCCTTGTAGCCATGGAAATAAAGAAGCCTTCTCGTGCCGGGGAATCCAGCTGGCTGTGGACTGGTTCAGGGACAGAGGACACACCTACATCAAAGTTTTTGTCCCATCCTGGAGGAAAGACCCACCAAGATCCGACACCCCCATTAGAGGTAGGCTGGAGCAGAGATATGCTCAAGAAGTTCTATACACCTTTCCTTGCTAGTGCTCCTGACAATTATAGTCAGTTATCTACTTAGCTATTTGTGTGATAATGTCTGTCTTTCTCACTGGACTATAAGCTCCTTGAAAGCACTGATTATAGGTATTCACTGCCATCACACCAGCACCCAGCATGTCTGGCGTATAGTAGGTGCTCAGTACATAGTTGTTGAATAGATGAATAAAAAAATTATTTTGTCTTTTAGTGTGAATGATTAAGTCCCCAAAATTACTGTGTGCAGAGGGAGAGGGAGAAACAATTCCCTGCTGAGCAGGGAGCCTGACGCAGAGCTCGATCCCAGGACCCTGAGATCATAATCTGAGCTGAAGGCAGACGCTCAACCAACTGAGCCACCCAGGCGCCACTTCAACCTTCTACACACATTCTGGGCTGTGGCTCCCTATGGGCTATGGGGTCAATATGGTTTCTTGGGTTTGCTCCTCTCCTGGTTTCATTGCTGTTTTCCTGGGTTTGCTGCTATTCCTTGGCCCGTTTTAATGTGATTATGGACCTCCTCCCTGTTGTGTGCATCTTCACTGCCACTTCAATCCAATCACGAGAAGGAAGCGGGGATAAATACTTGTGTTCAGTTCTCTACCAGGAACCGGTCACCCCAAATCATTCTTTACTGTCTGAACATGGGGAATGGTGGCTCTCAACAGTTGTGTAATATGTAAATGTAGTACGGGTAATGGGTAGGGAAATCACTTTGGGGTAGGGAAGGAATTTGTAAACAAGTCACAACAAGTGCAAAGCTTCAGGGCAAAGATTCATGAATTTGACTGCATTAAAATAAAAGCTTCTGTTCATTAGTGGATACCACGAAAACAAAAAAAAATGAAAAGACAAGCCTTGAACTGGGAGAGGCCATCCATCACACATTCCTGATGAAGGATTAACTGTCCAGAATCTATAGAGAGCTTCTCCAAATTAATAAGACAAAGACAAAGGACCAACAGAAAGATTAACTAAAGCATGAATAGGCCTTTCACCGAAGAGAAAACATAAATGGCCAATAAACATACGAAAAGATGCTCAGTCTCATTAGTATCCAAAGAAATGCAAAATAAAACCACAATAAGAGTCCACTGTACACCCACCAGATTGGCAAAAATTCAGAAACCTGAAAATGCCAAGCATTGAGGAGGTCTTCTAAAATGCTGTGTTGGGTAGTAACTTAATATACTCACTTTGGAAAACAATTCGGCATTGTCTTAGAAAGTGCCTTTCCCTACAACTCAGCAACAGCGCTCTTATAGGTACTCCCTAGAGAAATCCTTGTACTTCTGTCCCCGGGAGACTAACATGCAGAACCGACAGCAGTGAACCTATGTACATGGCCCAACCGCCCGACACAACGTTTAAAGGAAGAAAGCAAGGTGCACGAGAATATGTGCACACGATCCCATTGGTGTAAAGTCTAGAGGGTCCTAATCACATTGAAAATAGTCGTTTTGGGGGATGGATACATGCACATTTTTTTTAAAATGAAAGGAAGGGAATTATAAACACAGAGTTCTAAACATTGGGCTACGTTGAGGGGAGCAGCAAAGTGGGGGGGCCCACGGGAGCATGGCCACGTGTGATTTCTCTAAGGGAGTGCTGCATAGGTGGGCTTTAAAAAGTACCCTTTGTACCCCCAATGCATTGTGTACTTTTTAAAAGTCTGGACACCATGTCATGGAGGAACGGATGTCGACTTGAGGGAAGAAACCATTTGTGAAGAATATACTGATGCGCTTCCAAGTTCTGAGTACCTGTTAGCGGTACAAGGGATTTCCTTTTGCCTGCCTCCCAAAGCACAGCTAAGGTGCAAGAGTAGACTTGCCAGGGATGTGGATTTTAGCTCCCTTGTGGTACGTGATGCACGGCGGCCTCCTCAGTACTCTGCTTGGGAGCTGTCGCCCACGTGAGCTTAGCCAGTCTACTCATAGACACCGAGGACGTGGAAGAGGAGTTGCCCTCCTGGTTTTATAGGAAATGTAAAATCTGGTGTTCAGAGAGGGAGGAGGGTCAGGTCCTCTTGACCCCAGTTTGCTGGCACGTGCCTCTCAGGACCTCCCTGCTCCTCATCTGCCAGGCTGGGCCGTGGCTGGGGGAGGAGGGAGCGGCCGAGCGTGCGGGGCGTGGTTTCCGGCCGAGCGTGCGGGGCGTGGCTTTCGGGGCTGGGGCCCTGCCCCGGAAGTCGCTGCATCCCGTCTCCCGCCCGTCCTGTGGCCCCCAGAGCAGCACGTGCTGGAGGTGCTGGAGAAGCAGGCGGTGCTCGTGTACACCCCGTCCCGCAAGGTGAACGGCAAGCGGGTGGTCTGCTACGACGACCGCTACATCGTGAAGGTGGCCTACGAGCTGGACGGCGTCATCGTCTCTAACGACAATTACCGCGACCTTCAGAGCGAGAACCCCGAGTGGAAGTGGTTCATCGAGCAGAGGCTGCTCATGTTCTCCTTCGTCAACGATCGGTATGTGGCGGCTCAGGGGGTCCTGGCTGGCGGGGGGGGGGGCGGGCTGGGGTGACCGGCAGAAAGCCACTCCATCCAGCCTAAGCCCAGGGAGGGGGCGGGGCTTGCAGTCACGGGCACACCACGCCAAAGCAAAGGGCACCCAGCCCCGGAGGCGGAGCCCACCCGAAGTCACCCACTCTGCCCCCCGAGGCCGCATAATCTCTCCCTGTCCCTCTGCGTCTCCTCTCTTTCCTGACCACCTTTCCCCAACAGGGCTATTTTGACCCAGCTGTCCGTGACCTTTCTGTCCCCATGCCCACACGTAGTTGACCTGGCACTGAGTTGCCTGCAGGTGGGCAAAGCACGAGCTGGGGCACCACCGAATTGTTGCTTTTATTTTTAAAGTATTTACTACTGCAAGCAAGAGCACTGAAACAGGCATCATGGGGAAAATCTGAACTTCATTGCACTTCCGTTCACTTATTTTATGTTTATGTCTTTTTTCTTTAAGTTTTGAATTACATATGGCACTCATTTTTTCTCTGGGGTTGTGAAGATCTCGGAACTGAGTCTGTCTCAATACCTGTTGGTTGAAATTTTCAAGAGAATCAAGTTGGTTCTTCTGTCCCCTAGGTTGGTTTCCCTGGGTCAGGTCTGCCCTGAACCAACCAGCTATAGCTGGGGGAGGGCGATGTCAGGGACACAAGGTGCGAACCAGTTAGCAGGTGCTGGGCAAGGGCTCCCGGATGGAGCTAAGGTGGGGAGGAAGCAAGGCAGACGTCCCCAGGTGTGCTGAAGGCAAAGAAAGGCCAGGAGCCCAGCAAGGCAGGCATGGGTCTGAGGCTGGCCTAGGGTGGGCTGGGGTGGGGAGGGCACAGCAAGCTGGGACATCACTCCCACTTCAGTTTCTGTTCCAGGCAATGACAGCTTCATCCTCCTTCTGGGTTCTAGGACTGGCCTTTAGAAATGTGGTTTAAGAGCAGCTCCCAACTCTGTGAGGACAGGGCCTGTATCATCTTGTCTGCCATGGCCCAGCATGCCTGGCACATCACAGGCCCTCAAGAACTAGTTGTAGATGAACGAGTGAGTGAGTGCACCCGTGAGGGAGTGACTGTGGCCCTGGGGAAGGGAGAATGGGGAGAGAGGTGACAGATCAGCTGGGTCAGGCCGCTTGCCTGCAGCAGACCAGCTCCTGACCTTGAAGCCCGGGAGGCAGTGCGGTGTGCTACAAAGAGCTAGGGCTTTGGAGACGGCAGATGAGGTTTCAAATGGAGGCTCTGCCCTTCGTGGGCTGGGTGTCATGGGGGAAATCCTTCAATCTCACCGAACTCAATGTTCTTCACCTTGAGTTAACCATACACTGATTAACCATACTTGGTCTGTGGTGGTTGTGAGGGCTAGGGAGAACTGTACCCCGTAAGCGGTAACAGGTACTTTCAGGCCACTGCAGGACATGCCTGCCCCCACTCCCACCCTCCTAAGCCCCAGGACAGATGCTTGCAAGCAGCTACCCCCCAGTAGCCCCATGGTCATGTCCCCATACTCAGCGCCAGTGGTTCCCTCTGTCCAGCTCAGGCCCAGAGAAATCTGGCAAGTCTGATAACACTGGGTTCCAGAAAATCCTGAGGTCTGATGGATCATGGCTGCCTTTGGCCTGGCAACAGCCCGGGGCTCTGGCCAAGTCCTTTGACGCACTGGCCTCTGCTAAGGGCCTGCCAGAAGGTCCTCCGGCTGCCAGAAGGCAGAGCCTGCCTGCCTGTGGGCGAGGACACATGCCCCAGTGCCCTGGGCACGTCCATAGGGCCCTCTTGGCCCAGCTCGCCATGGCCGAAGCCTGGCGGAGAGCAGGAGGTGAAGCCTTTGGGAACCTCTAATAACTGCAGTGGGCGGCTCCCCAAGATTCTTGGTCAGGGCCTGAGTCCGAGAAGCTGGCTGTGGAACCGGGATCTGAGCCCCAGAGGCTGCCTGGGACTGGGGATTGCCCAGTTCTGGGCTGGCCTAGGGTTTATGGTCTGCATGGTGGGACTCAGTATGACCCTTGACTCTCAGAGGGACGCCAACCCATTAAAAACAGGCCCCCCTCCCCCCCATTTGGGATCCACAGCTCCTCTAGTGGAACCTTTGTATGACCTGGAAGTACCTCCTGGGAATAAAACTATTCATATAAAAAAATGGATGACACTAAAGGAGGGGAGTTTTCCTTCCAAGGAATGTTTGCCCCTCTGAGCTGTGGGCAACACTGAGGATGCATGCCCTTCCTTGTGAGACTGCATGCCAGGGAGACGGGAAGGGGCAGAGAGGGGGCAGGGTGGTATCATCCGAGAACAGGGCTGGGGTCAGGTGGCCCCACAAGCTGAGACAAAACCCAGAGGCTCCTGGGTTTGCAGAGGAGGGGCTGGGCCTATACTGAGGCTCTGTGCGCCTGCCACACCTGGGATCTGCTCCTTCACTGGCTCCCCGGCTGGCATTTCAAAACTCTATTAAGATTAATCCCCCACCGGCATATGTCCAGAGCTGTGGGGCAACACGGGAGAAGTGGGATCTGAGTAAGGGGGCTCACAGGCCCAGGGCTGTTTGTAGCCCCTTGGAGGTCTCGGCCCTTCTGCTGAGGACAGTGGGAAAGCAGTTTAGAGTCGCTTTCAGATCAGGGCCCAGGGGAGTCCCAGAGCAAAGATGCTTCCATTTTAGTGGGTAAAAATCACCTGGAAAGTTGTTACACGCAGACTCCTGAACCACCTGAGTGTCTGATTAAGCAGGACTTGTGTGAAGCCGGGAGCCTGCATTCTGAAAGGTGTCGCTAGGTGATTCTGCCGCTGCTGGAGGAGCTCCCCAAGAGGTCTGCGGCGGCTCTCCTGGGATCCACGCTCTGCCCCTCCCCGGGGTCCATGAGAAGGAAGGGTGATACGGCTCTCAGATGCTACACCCCCCAGGTGGGAGAAGGGGCCTTGCACGGGCAGCCCAGGCCAACGCAATGCCCGGGGCTGCCATTCTTGCACCGGCTGGCTTGGGCCTGCTCCCCGTGCAGGTGCCAGGGGTGAGAGTCTATGGGTCCTGCAGTTGCCCCCTTGTGCTTGTTTACAGGTTCATGCCTCCTGATGACCCCCTGGGCCGCCGGGGACCCACGCTGAGCAACTTCCTGAGCAGGAAGCCGAAGCCCCCGGAGCCATCCTGGCAGCACTGCCCCTATGGTGGGTAGCACCCCACGCCCCATGATCCCGGGTCAGGTCCCATTCGGGGGCAGCACAGGGTGGAGTCAGCAGCCTGAGTTCTAGTGCGGGTTCCGCTCCCAACTCGCTGTGTTACACTGGAGAGCTAATTTAACCTCTCTGGCCCGCACGGGCTGACAGGGTTATTATGAGGATGAACTGACATCCTGGATGCTTGTTGGCACGGGAACCTCTGCGAGGGCCACAGGCAGGGGTCACATGCAGGGCAAAGCGTATCCAGGAAGCCCAGAGGCTGTGTGTACCCCAAGCTTCTCCTCCTCCATCCCTTCACCTGGCGGAGGTCACTCTGGGGCCTCGAGTCTGCGTCATGCCCCACCGTCCCTCCACCCCCATCTGTTCACGGACTTTGGTCAGTGCTATCCATTAAGAATTAAGGACTTTATCCCACAGCACTTCTAGCTAGCTCTTTGCCTAACTTGCCTTGGCGAGTTTGTTTGTTGTTTGTTTAACATCCCCAGGTCTTGTTTCTTGTGTCCATAGAAGTTTAAAAAAACCTTAGGTGATCTTCAGTCATTTCTTGTTAGAGTCAAGGTGACCACACATACGGTCAGGTTGGCTCCTCTTGCTTCCGCTCTCAGCAGGGTCCAGGTTTGGCTGATAAATCACATGATCACCTCTGTTAGAACAGCCTGTAGGGAGAGGGCAATGGTTAGCAGAAGGAATGAGGCCAATGGTGGAAACCGAGGCAGAACGGAGGTGCAGTCCTATGCCGTGAGCACCTGCTCCCCACCCTATCCCCAAGGCTGGCCCTATATCCACAGGGTCCCTGGGGAAGTGGAGGTCAAAGGTCATTGGATCTAGAGGTTTGGTCTCAGTTCCTGGCCAAAGGGAGTTTCCATACCGCCAATCTGGGTCCAGCGCCCTACACCACGGGGCGGGGGGCGTACCACACCCTCACCCCTCTAACCTGGCCCCGGGGCACTTCTCCCCACCTCGTCCTGCCCCAGCTGGAGGAATCTCCAAGAAGGGTCGCGCACTCACCACACCGCAGCTCCGCACAGCCCCTCCCGGCCAGTCTCACGCCGCCCTCTCCCCCTGCCCCCACCCTTCCAGGCAAGAAATGCACCTACGGCGTCAAGTGCAAGTTCTACCACCCGGAGAGGCCGCACCTGGCGCCGCTGGCGGTGGCCGACGAGCTTCGCGCGCAAACGCGGGCTTGGCGGGGCGTGGGAGGCGGAGCGGAGGAGCGGCGGCGCAGCGGGCGGGCGGCGGCGGCGGCGGCGGCGGCCGGGGCAGGGCAGGGCGGCCCCCGGGGCGCTCCCGCCGCGGCCTGGCTGAGGGCCCCGGAGCCCGGCGCGTGCAGCCTGCCCTCGGCGCGGCCGGCGGCCGACGTGGCGGCGCTCGAAGGCAGCTTCTCGCAGCTCGCCTTCAGCGACGACCCGGGGCTCCTCGGTCCACCCCCCCTGGACGCCGGCCTCACGCCCCGGCCGCGCCGTCCGGACTGGGTGGCGCCGGGGGCCTCGCCGACCCCAGCAGCCCTGCGCGGCCTCCCGAGCCCCCAGGGCCCGTCCGGCCCGCCGGTCCGGCCGCGCGGGGGGCACGGCCCCGGGGCCCAGCACAGTGACCTGCTCCCCCAGCGCCGACGGCCCGCCGACGCGCGCGCCCTCCCACCAGCGGCCGACCGGTTCCCGGGCTGCTCGGCCTGGGCGAAATGCGGCTGCGTCGACGGCGCCTTCGGGGGACCTTCGGGGCCCCCGCCTCCCTCCGCTCCCCGCAGGGTGGACGCGCGCGCCCGAGCGCGCATCGCGCTCTGCAGCATCTTCCCGCCCCACCAGGTGGACAGCGTCATGGCCCTATTCCCCGCGCTCTCCGACGTCACCAGGCTCATCCTGCTCATCCAGAAATTCCAAAGGTGTGGTGCGCCTGTGGAAAAGTCCTAAGGAACTCGTCCAAGCCACCGCAAGTGATGTCCCAGTCTTGCCTTGCCACTTGGGCAGGGAGGGTTGTCAGCCTGCTCCTGGGGCGAGCCACTTTGCAGCCCCCTTTTCTTTAAAGATGGTCAGGGAAGCCAGCTTCCTCACCCTCAGCCAGGCCCATGGTGGCACTTGATGATCCTCACTGACCCTGCAGGGCTAGCTGCTGGAGGTCAGTAAGGTTGGCCCCTTCCGTGGAGGGAGTGATCTCTTATGTCTGGAAGACTTTGCTCCCATGACGGCTCGAAGGGTTTGTCCAGAACATTCCATGGCTGTTTTGTCAAGCTGCAATTGGGATCCACAAATGGGTCACAGGAGCAATTTAATGGGTCAAACCAGAAAGAGTGGCATGGGAAATCTCAGAGCCTACTCCACCTCATCAAGCTAGGTATGAAACTCCTGTTTGTTAGCTACCAGTGGGTGCATCTATTTACCCTTGGTAGCCATGGAAACTTGCTGTGGGTCGTGGGCAAAAGTTTGAAAAATCCTGGTAAATGGCCTTGAATTTTATTGTATCAAATCACATTTGAAATATGTAGTCAGTTGATGGAAGTTTTGGCATCTGGAAGTTTTCATATGAGCTGTTTCTTACCTCATGAGAGGAACCTAGAATTGTCCTTGTGCTCTGAGATTGTGTGGCTGTGCTGGTCTGTGGGGGCGGGGCAGGGGCACGGTGTCCTGAAGGTCTGCCCTTAGGGCCTTCACGCCTTACACACACACCCACACACACACACACACCCCCCCCCACACACACACACACTTGACTCAGGGCTAAGCATGTTTTTCAGCCGTCCATCAGGGCATTTTCCAACACAGCGGCTCTACTGGCTGAGCTTTCTAAGCCACACCTCGCACGTAAGCCAGGGCCCAGTGAGTCAGGACTTGTGCCCAGAAACCTCGAGGTGGGTCAGTGAAGAGCTGACATGAGCCTCCATCATGGAGGTTTATTGCCCCCGTCCACCACTGCTGTTTCTTCCACCCAGCTACTGCTTTGAGTTTTGGGGCAAAGGGACCCACCCACTTGCAATGGGCAAGAAATGAGACCATCCTTCCAGAGTGTGGACCCTGCATCCTCTGGGGGTCCTGTCATCTCTAGGGGGCATCCACATTCACTCCAGGTTACAAGTCCAGCTGTCCAGGTCTTGGCTCATTTGCTCATGAGGGCCCTTGGTGGCCGGGCCATCAGGGAGAGTGTGAGGCACCTCCCAGTGGAAAATCAGCCCCCAAACCCCCCAAGTTGCCTGCAGACTGGTGAGTGCAAAGGGAAACTCTTCTCAGCACATCACTCCGCTGTGTGCATTTTTGGCACAGACCAGGGTGCGCCCCTGGGAGAGTCCGCTTCCAGCCCTCTAATTCGTGGTAAGTGCTGCAGTAGAGATAGAGTGATGTTGTGTCTCTCAGGGACCACGATCGTCTTTTTAAACCAGCCTCTTAACGTGCTTCAGCCAGATCTGTTCTTTACCCCTGTTTTTCCAAAGAGGACACTGCACGCACAGTTGTATCTTACTGTTTTGGGACCTCAGTCCTGAAGAGGGTCCACTCTTTCTAGATAAAATGGATTTCCCTTCTGGTGTTTTTGTTTTTGTTTTTCTTTTCTTTTGGCAAGACAGGCTTTATGTTAGAGCTGCTTTTGTCTCTCTGATCTGTCTCCTGATGTGGTATCGTTGTACGGGCTGACTTACAGTTGGAAATGTTTAAACTGCTTCCTTTGAGGACAAGTTTGAGTTTTAGTAAGCTGTAAAGCTATTTTATTTGGTTCACTGTGATTAAGACAAGCACAAAACAAGTGAAGAGACAGCACATTTCAGTGTAATCCCCTTTGGAATCTTTTCCAAAGTCTTGGTATGTCTTTATGACACAAAACATGGACGGACGGGTGAGTGAAATGTTCCTGGTTGCATAACTGTTACCATGATCCAAAAATAAATCACTTTTATCCACGCCTGGGGCTCTCTATTGCTAAATTGCATATCATTTTCTCCCATGTCGGCTTCTCCCTGTAGGTCAGGTTTTCACATTAAATATTGTGGGTGTGAAGACTGATGTTATGGCTGCTTTATGTGGTCTTACTCCTCTCTTGGGGGTGAGGAGGCTAGAATCCACCTTTTCCAGGGGCAGCAGTGAGCCCAAGGCGAGGACATGCCTTTGTTAGATGCTCAGCAGGCTGTTCGCAAGGACACGGGCTGCTTGCTAGACTGTTAAAATCCTCATTACAGAACCACAAAGCAATCGCATAAAAGCCACTCTTCTTGTGTCAACCTGCACCAGCATCCTCGATTGCCCAAACCTGAGGAGCCGGGTGCTGGGCCGTGTTTTTGCTGGTGCAGCTTTCCCAGAAGCCTCTGGAAGGTAGTTTGAGGCAGAACCACAGAATATTAGAGGCTAAGGGGGTAGAAGCAAGAAGAGCCATTCATGTCCACATTGTTCCAGATAAAACAAAGCCCAGCCCTCCGGATTTTACCTAGAACTCACGTCAGGGAGCAATGAGCCGACTGCCAGCTGGCGCAGGGACAGCTCCCTGTGTCTGGGACAACAGTCCCTGCAGGGAGAAGAGCATGGTCATGGTCAGGGGGAGGGGAAGAGGCATGAAGGGATGGGGTGGGGGAGGGGGCTCTGGGAGCCGGAGCAACTGCTTGAAATCACAAATCCCACCGTGAGCAAATGCACGGGGCCAAGACCAGCTACATAACTTGTGGGGCCCTGTGTAAAATTAAAATGCAGGGCCAAGATAGTTGATAGCACAGAATTCAGCCAAGCCCGGGGTCCTTCTAGGTGGAGAGGTCCTGTGGGACTGCCTCCTGCCCATGAAGCTGCCCTGTGTGGAGTTACCAAAGGGACAAGCCAGAGAACATTTCCCATACTCAGAGTGTCAGAACACAAGATAAGACGTGCATGCTTTATAGTTGGGAAAGACCACGTGTCCAAGGCTGGTGCTGGTCCCCCAGGGCCTCTCCCTCAGGGATTGTCCACTGCATCCTCCTGAGGGCTGAGAGGGCCTTCCTTGGCTTTCTCTGCCCACCTCTGCTATAAGGGGCTCAAGAGAAGAAGTTGAGGGTCTTGAGCAAACCACATACAGGATCAGTGATGTCCAGATGAAGTCAGTAGGGGTAGGCCTAACTGGGCAGCAAGTATACTGGTTTGTCTGCGGTGAGGCTGTTTGGTCACAGGCATGGCTCACAAACCACGAGGCAAGAGGCCAGGGTGGAAGCAGCTTCGGGGTTGGCTGGAATTAGGGGCTTGATCCCTGTCTGTCAGGATTGTCTCTTCGGTTTTCTTCTGCCTGTGGGATTATTCTCTCCCCTGAGATTTTCTCTACACAGTGAAAGCCTCTCTGTTGGCAGACCTAGGCACATACCCTTTCAGCTGAAGGACTTTTGGCCTCAGAAAAATCCTGGGAAGAATCGATTGGCCTGGCTTGGGTCATGCGCCCACCCCTGGACCAATCACTGTGACGTGCTACAATGGGGGCAGCTGGGTCTCATGCCCCACTCTGGCTCCAATGAGGGCATGTACTGGGATTGTCAGCTTCTGCCAGAACCTACGTGGTTGGTGGGCGTCGGGAGGTTTAAGGGGATGCTGAGCAGTTCCCTCAGAACTGAGAAGGGAGACAGTGTCCAGGCAGACAAAAGGAATGCCCACAGCAATGTTCAAGTCTGGGCATTGGGCCAGGGCTTAGGATGGCCCCGCCCTGCTCCACCTCCACTCTGGTCCTGCCTGAGAAAGGAGCCGCTGTGTTTATTCTCTTTCTTGCTTTGTCAGGAAAAACCATGCATCTGCCCATTCACAGACAACACAGCTCTGTGTGGTTGGAAATTGGAGGGCCTGCTGCTACAGGGCCTGAGGTATCGTTGCATTAATCTTGCCAGTCCCAGATTGTGGCCAGGTGAGCGCTTCGGTGGGCCATTGCCAAAAACCCCTACAGGGGAGGAAGTGGCTCTTCAGAGTCAAGAGGTGACCTTGTTCCCTTTGACTCACTTCTGAACTGATGCCCTTAGAACTCAGGAAGCTCTCGGAGTCGGAGCACTCAGCCCAGCTCCTGGCAGCTGAACTGAAAATGAGGGGCTGAGGGCTTGGCCCAGCTTGTAATTACTTTGCTCTGAGTTCCTGGGGAAACAATGTCACCTCTCTGTCCTTATGTAGGAATGACACACCTATCCCCAATGCCCAGGAAGATGCTGGATAAATAAGCAGAAAGGCAAATGGGCACAGTTGAATGCCATTCATATTAACTAGCTGGCTGGCTGACTGACTGACAGACACTGACTGGCTGACTGACTGGCAGACATTAACTGATACTGACTGACACTGACTGACTGACACTGATTGGCTGACTCATCAATACTGAATGACTGACACTGACACTGACTGGCTGACTGACTCACTGACACTGATACTGACTGACACACTGTTGGAATGACTCACTGACACTGACACTGTCTGACTGACAGACACTGACCGACTAACTGACTCACTGACACTGACACTGTCTGACAGACACTGACTGACTCACTGACACTGACTGGTCGACTCACACTGAATGACACTGACACTGGCTGACACTGTCTGACAGACTGACTGACAGATGCTGGCGGACTGGCAGACATTAACTGGTACTGACTGACACTGTCACACTGACAGAATGACTCACTGACACTGGCTGACACTGTCTGACAGACACTGACTGACAGACACTGGCTGGCCGACTGGCAGACATTAACTGATACACTGTCACACTGACGGAGTGACTCACTGACACTGGTTGACACTGTCTGACAGACACTGACTGACAGACACTGGCTGGCCAACTGGCAGACATTAACTGATACACTGTCACACTGACAGAGTGACTCACACTGGTTGACACTGTCTGACAGACACTGACTAACTGACAGACACTGGCTGGCTGACTGGCAGACATTAACTGGTACTGACTGACACTGTCACACTGACAGAGTGACTCACTGACGCTGGCTGACACTGTCTGACAGACACTGACTGACTGACAGACACTGGCTGGCTGACTGGCAGACATTAACTGGTACTGACTGACAAACCCTGGCTGGCTGACACTGACTGCATGGCTGACAAGGTTAAAAGTGTGGTTGACACCTGTAGCTGTTGGGAGCCATTACTCAAATAGGGTTAGCAAACCACAATAGTTTTGACTTTATCTGAAGTCAAACTTACTCATGAAAATAGTGTCTGCGTGATTGAAACAAGCCATATTAAGCCTCCAAAAGTCAGTCTCACTGATGCCATTCTTGTTGAGGTAGTTTATGAGGCATTTTTTCCCCCAAAGGAAGGATGGGAAGCACAGGATGGAGATGAGGTCCCTCTATTTGCACCAGTGATTTTTTTTTCCCCGTCTGGCCCCTTTTCCTTTCTCTGAGACTGTCTCTAGCTCTCATTTTCTAAAAGCCCCTTCTTCACACAAAATCACCTACTCAGGGGTCCTTCGGGTTCCATGTTTCACTTGATTGTATGTAACTCCTTTGCTCTCCTATCCTTTTCGATCTCCTGCCCCCATCATTGCCCTCAAATCTCCTGAGGCTTCAAAGCTCTTCTCTTCCTCCTTCCTCCACAAAGTTGGACCAGGCCATTCTAGCACTTGTGAACCATCCTTCCCGGATTCTTCACTGCTATCCTTTCGGGGGCTGAACATTTCCAACTGCTCCAAGGCACTCTTTGGAATGATCTTGCTCTGAATGGTTATTTGTTACTCATTATTGAACTCTTTCCTTGTATTTAGGCTTGCACTTTAAACTATACACATTTGGAGGGTTGGGACTGTGTCTTTAACCTTGTCTTTCCATCAGCCTTGAGGCCAGTCAGTCAGGACCAGTGAGGGTATGTTACTGAAACAAAACAGTCCTGAATCCCAATAGCTCGGACCACAGAGTTGTGCTACATTGTACTCCATGTCCAGGGTAGGTTAGCTGGGGCTGTGCACACAGAGACCAAGGCTGAGGGAGGAGGGGGCTGAAGAAGAGAACATGCTCAACTGTGCACTGATTCTTAAAACTTCCAAGCAGATGTGGCAATGCAGCACCTAACTGCACCGGGCAGGAAAATGCAATCCTCCTGTGTCTGCACATGGTGGGCATCTTTGGAGAATGGCAACAGAGAAATATTTATTGATTGAAAACCTTGAAAGAAAAAATGAGTTAAATGAGGCATGGCACATCCATTTAATGGGATACTATAAGCCATTAAGATGATATTGTCAGAGGATGTTAATGACAGAAAATGTTGAGCATATATCAACTCGTCATCAGGGAAATGCAAATCAAAATCATGATGAGATACCACCTCACACTGGTCAGAATGGCTAAAAGTAACAACACAGGGAACAACAGATGTTGGCGAGGATGCGGAGAAAGAGGTGCCCTCTTACGCTGTTGCTGGGAATGCAAACTGGTGTAGACACTCTGGAAAACACTATGGAGTTACCTGAAAAAGTTGAAAATAGAACTACCCTATGATCCAGTAATTGCACTACTGGGTATTTACCCAAGGGATACAAAAATACTGATTCAAATGGGGCACATGCACCCCGATATTATCAACAGTAGCCCAATTATGAAAAGAGCCCAAGTGTCCATGGACTGATGATTGGATAAAGAAGCTGTGGTATATATATACACAGAATATTACTCAGCCCCCCAAAAGAATGCAATCTTGCCATTTGCAATGACATGGATGGAGCTAGAGCTAGAGGGTATTACACTAAGTGAAATAAGTCAGATAAAGACAAATACCATATGATTTCACTCATATGTGGAATTTAAGAAACAAAACAGATGAACATATGGGAAGGGGGAAAAAGAAAGAGAGGGAAACAAACCATAAGAGACTCTTAACAACGCAGAACAAACAGGGTTGATGGAGGGAGGTGGGTGGGGCATGGGCTAGACGGGTGATGGGTATTAAGGAGGGCACTTG